CGACAGAGACGTCTCTTTCTTCCTGCGACACCCAAGAGTGTATAAGCGGCGGATAAAAAAAGAAAAGAAAGAAAGAAGAAGTGAGTGTGCGAGCGTGTGTGTGTGTATGTGTGTGTAAGTATGTGTGTATGTATATCAGTGTGTTAGTGAGTGTGAACGTGTGTGTTAGTGAGTGTGCACGTGTGTGTTAGTGTGGTGTGTGTGTGTGGGTGGGTGGGTGAGTGTGTGTGGGTGTGTGTTTATCTAATGTTTCAATCTCTCTGCTATGATGTCGTACCCCTCTCAACCCAGGTTGGCCCTGACAGGCAGGGTCGGAAGCCTGACTCCTAAATGATCTCAATAGTGTCAATGGCGGCGTAAAAACACCTACATTAGTTATAACCAAAGCAAGAGCAAGTGGACGCTGTAACGCCTGTATGTGGCAGACAGCCTCCGCACGCCCACATGTCTCTCCTTTGCGGCAGCCAGACGTCAGTCTTTTCCCGCCGTGACCAGAGATGTCAGCGCTGGACCTGTGCCCGTCCAACATTCACAATCGGCCGCTGTTCACAGCTATTTGGGGCGTGCTCGGGACATTTCAATGCCATGGGATTTTTTAAAATATATGTAATTTTAAAAATATACAGATCTACATACAGGAATTTCTTTTCATTTTACTCAACCCGTACTAAAATGAAAGCATTTCGTCTTATTTTTCTCTAACCGTAGTAAAATGAAAGCATTTTCTATAGTAAAAATCCCTGACGTAAATACAGACATACTTTGTGCGTGATGATCACAAGACAGAGAGGTACCGGTAGTTGAGGCCAACCAAGGAGAGAAAAAGAAGAAAAAGATAAAGTATCAGAAGAACAAAAATAAAAGTAATGTATTGTAATCTCCTTGGGGCCAACACATAGGCGTACACTTCTGTACACTATAGGCAGAGACTTTGCTACAGGTTTAAAAGGAGATAACTCTATGGGGGCCAACAAGACAGAGTTGTACAACGTGCCTCTTACAAAGCCATTACCTCCATAGAGTTATCTCCTTTTATACCTATAGTGCCTATAGTGTACATCTATGATTACCTCAGAATTACAAAGTTCTATCAGCTCAGTATCTAGGGTTTTGAGAGATTTGACGTCAAACATTTTGAGTATCACATCGTGTCAAGCTTTTTCGAATGCAATTCTTTGAATATCTTGATGTTGCTCCGAATAATCTTACAATTTTGATAGAGCAGATAGAACATTTGGTTTTTGATCTCACGGTCTTGATGATTCAGGGGGCTCTCGTGGCCTAGAGGTTAAGGTGTT